GGGATGAAAATGGGGTCATTTCTGCCATGTTCTCAGGCCCAAATGGGGTGGGTGACTCCCTTAGAGCTGAGATCTTTGCAGTTATGGAAGGAGTCCGGAAAGCTAAGGAGTTGAACATCAGGAAGCTCATAATTGGGGGATTCAGAGGTGGTGATAGGGTGGCTGAGTAAAGATCACAATGGTTTATGGAAGTACAATAATGAGAGGAGAAAATTCAAGTGGTTGGTGCGGGAGATGGAAGTTAAGACATGTTGGGTTAGAAGATCGGCTAATTCCTTAGCTGACGGTTTAGCTAAACAAGGGGCAGAAAGGGATTCACTGTTTTGGGATAAGTTGTAACTTAAGTGTGTTTTTTTTTTTCTTTTTTTCCTTTTCTTGAGGTTCTTTGTTGCTCTTGGAAGATAAGTGTGTTTGTCTTCCTCTTGTAAATCTTCTATTGATGATTTAATGAAAGTGTTATTGATCAAAAAAAAAAAAAAACATAGATGTGAAGAAAGCATGACATCATGTTGGTTCAGGTAGACTCAGATTGCTTATACCAACTCAGTCCTGCCATGGATCAAAATTATCTACAGACCAGACAACCTAAAAGCTACAAAGAAACAAGTCTGGGTTGACTGGGAAGCTTGTGTGAGACAATACAAAAAGAAATAATCACCTTTTATGTAACAAAGAACCTCAAGAAAAGGAAGCATGACATCATGTTGGTTCAGGTAGACTCAGATTGCTTATACCAACTCAGTCCTGCCATGGATCAAAATTATCTACAGACCAGACAACCTAAAAGCTACAAAGAAACAAGTCTGGGTTGACTGGGAAGCTTGTGTGAGACAATAAAAAACGAAATAATCACCTTTTATGTAATGAGACCATCCCTTGTATGCCATCCTTCCAGAGTACCATTTACAAGAAAGCTCTTGAAGGAAAGTCCATTGTTTTGTGAGCCCATTTCCCAAGACCTTCCCATAATCTCGTTACGAGATGAGAACACAATAAATATCAAAACAATCAAAAATGAGATAAAGATCAACCAATCCATCCAAAACATACTTCAAATTCCCCCTCCTTCAAATGAAACCTCTTATATGGTGTGGAAAAATCTCTTCAATGCAAAAAGTTTGGTTACAAAAAATTTAAAAAAAAAAAAAAAGATGTACTAGTAAAAACATAGACCACTAACCACCTAAAAAAGTGGTTCACTTATCATAAAGAGACAACACTGTACAAATGTTGTTCCCTTCACTGGAAGTAGAATAAATTTTCTCATACAAAGATTCAAAAAGTTGAACCTGGATATGTACTTTTGTAATGCAAATAATTGGGCATTGTGAAGATTTCAACAATAATGACACAAATGCTCCAATACAAGAAAGATAAATACTAATATAAGGAGTCCAACCTGCTTATCAGGCCATGCATATGTTGGCAGTACTGCTTCTCCTTCAATCGTCTGCATAATGTCCCCATTTCTCATTGTTGTGCCCAATGCAATAAAGCTGAGTCCTTTCCTTGGGGATCTTGTGAATGGAATTGTATTGCCTGCATATCTTCTTGAAGAACCAGCAAATAGTTTGCTCCAATATTTTGCCCCTCCTGGAATAACTAAAAAGCTAATGTTTCAAAATGATGTAACTTCAAAGTAATAACCTTGTCTTCAGTTTATCCAACATCAGACTAAATCCAAATCCAACATCGTTATAATTTACATTGTGGGTAAGGTACATAAGAGAAACGTATCTAAATTTTAAAGCAGCAGTTCAACATTACTAAAAGATCCCTAGCTGGGTCAGAGACAAGCCAAAGGAACAAGCTTTGGCCCCTGAAATTTTACAAATTCCAACAGACCTGAGAAAGTTATCTCCTCTGCTTCAACTGAAGGCCTAAATTCACAAATAACTTTGAACATAAACTCCTTTAGATCCCACATCATCCAGTTAGGAAAGATTTTTTATTAGAGTTATCATATGCAGCCAAAGAAGGAAAACTCCTTTTGTTTAATAGTGTTAGAGTTAGCCGAATGAGGGGTAGATTAGTCTTTCACTCAGTTTAAGTTATGTGCTTATGTGGCAGTTCTAATTAGACTTTCTGTCCCATACTTAAGTGGGGGCAGTTTAGTCATTGTACTTTAATTAAGAACCCTTAATCCATATTATGGTCGACTGGTAGGGTTTAGGCTACCAAGTTCGACTGACTCTTCTTCTTCTTCTAATTCTTCTGCTCTTTCTCCTTCACTCTCTTCTGGTTTGAACTGCTGAAGCTACTGAAATAACATGGTATCAGCGTGCTAAACGAAGGAGAAGAAGGCTGCGGCAAGTTTAGTTACTGCAGCAAGTTTTATTTTTTTAGGACTGCCGCAGTCCCTATTTCAAGTGGTTAGGAAGGTGCGGCAGTGCTAGGCTATCAGTTCCATATTGCTGTCACCATGTGTAACAGCTATGGTCGTGTGGTGGTGTTTGTGATGTTCATCCTCTATTGAGCAGTTTCAAGAGGGCTCGTGTGTGGTTAGTTGAGTTGCTGAGTTACTGTCATTGTGATTTATGGTTCTGTGTAATCAGTAGTGGTGTGAACAAGAACAAAAGTCTGTATTTTTGTGCTGGAAGGAGTGGCCAAATTGTTTACATCAATTTTCTGACTTGTTGTTGCTGTCTGAATGCTAGTTTACCTTTTTTCTTTAATCTGAAATGGTAGTCGAACCTGTCTGAAACATCAAGCTCTTAATCTGAATGGTAGTTTACATAGTGGTGATTGATTGTGACTGGTTGTGAACCTATTATCTGTGTTTGGAGACTGCTGTAGTGCCCGAAACATCAAGCTCCTGACAGCAGTACTCGGTTGGTGACTGGGGATTCAGCATCAGAAGTAGCATTGGGAGGGCATCATGGCAGCAACAAGAGATGGTTGTAGTGATCAGAAACCTGGTGTGATGATTCCTCTGACTATCTGGGTGTGCAGATGACTTCAATTAAACTTAATGGTGAGAATTATGTGCCATGGGCCAAGCCAGTAGAAGTTTTTTCTCAAGGCAAAGAGGAAAGTGAAACATGTGAAGGAAGATAAACCATCAACTGACTCTCCAAGGTTTGATGACTGGGAACAGGAAGATGCCCAAATCATGACATGGATATGGAATAATATGGAACCCAAAATAGGTGCCAACTTTATGTTTTTAGATACAGCTAAAGACATATGGGAACATGCCAAGAAGCTTTATTCTGGGCAGGATAATATTACGAGGGTATATCAGCTCTATCAGGAGTATTTTGATCTGCAGCAAGGGAATAAAACCTTAGAAGAGTACTATTCCAATTTGAAAAACCTCAGAAATGAACTCAATGTCTATCATCCCCTAACTCCAAATGTTAAGGTTCAGCAACAACAGAGGGAGCAACTAGATGTCACTAGGTTCTTAGTGGGGCTGAAATCAGAGTACGAACCAGTTAGAGCCCAAATCTTGGGAGGCTCTACTATTTCTACTCTTGAGGAAGTATTTGCAAGGCTTCGTAGGATTTCTTTGGGTTCTACAAAGTGTACCACACCATCTGGCAGATCAATATTTGTGGTAGCCAGAGGAAGTGGGCGTAGTACTAGAGGGGGAGGACATGCATCTTGAGGAAGTCGTGGTGGTTTCATATTTGGCCGTGGTGGTGGTCGTGACTCAGGGGGAGGCCGTGGTAAAGGAAAAGGTAACTCTACTAGGAAGTGTACCCACTGTGGCAGGGAAGGACATTCAGTGAATTTCTGTTATAATCTCCATGGCCCACCTTCTACATGGGCTAAACATGCAATAGCAGGTGGGGTTGATGTTAGTGATAACCAACAGCCAGATCTCACACCTTCCACATCTACATCTGTTTCCGGGAAGGAGGTGATGAGTGTACCGTGCGATGAGTATGAGAGGTTCCTTCAGGCTACTTCACAACATACTACAGCCACCCATGCACACTCAGGTATAGCTTGTCTGGAATCCAAACCCTCTCCCTGGATTATTGACTCTGGAGCCTCTGATCACATGACCGGGACTCTAGGTGTGTTCTCTTCCCTCTCTGAAACTTCCACAACTCAAACTGTTACCCTTGCCAATGGTTCCTCTTCTCCCATCTGTGGTGTTGGTAATGTTGACACGACTTCTCTTTCATTATCATCTGTTCTATATGTACCTAAATTTCCATTCAATCTTATGTCAGTTAGTAAATTAACTACGACCCTTAATTGCTCTATTACATTTTTCCCTTCATTTTGTGTTTTTCAGGATCTCAAGACGGGGAAGAAGAATGGTGGAGGGCATGAAGCCGGTGGATTGTATTATCTTAACGATGGTGGATCGTCAGTTGCACTTCAGACTTCCTTCACTCTTCTACAATGGCATTGTCGGCTGGGACGTCCATCTCTCAAGGCACTCAAGATACCAGTTCCGTCTTTGAGTCATTTGTCGTCTTTATAGTGTGAACCGTGTCAATATGGGAAACACCATCGGGTTTCCTTCAGTCATAGAGTTGATAGTCGTATGTTGAGTCGTTTTGCTTTTGTTCATTCATATGTTTGGAGTCCAATTAAAATAGAATCTTATAATGGTTACAAGTATTTTGTCACTTTTATTGATTGTTCAATGATGACATGGATTTATTTAATGAAAGAAATGAGTGAATTAGTTTCCATTTTTCAAAAATTCCATGCTGAAATACATACGCAATTTGGTGTTCCAATCAGAGTTCTTCATTCAGATAATGGTCGTGAATACTTTCTCACTTCTTTTCAACAATATTTAGAACAACATGGCATCATTCATCAAATTTCATGTGCATCCACCCCTCAACAAAATGGGGTGGTTGAAGGAAAGAACCGCCATTTCCTTGAAACTGCTTGGTCTATTCTTCATCATATGAGTGTTCCTAAACGATTTTGAAGTGATGTTGTGCTTACTGCTTATTTCCTTATTAATCGGATGCCCTCCTTCGTCCTTCATGGTCAGTCTCCCTTTTCTATTTTGTTCCCCACCTTATCTCCCTTTCCATTAACACCCCGAGTCATTGGTTGTGTGTGCTTTGTTCACAATCTGAGTCCAGGGTTAGACAAACTGGATGCACGCTCTATTAAGTGTATCTTTCTTGGCTACTCTCGGACCTAGAAAGGGTATAAGTGTTACAATCCCATTACTCGGAAGTTCTATGTCTGTCCTGATGTCACTTTTTTTGAGTCCATTCCATTCTTCTCGAGACCTAAAGTATCGTTATCTCCACCTTTGCTTTCTCTCCCTCTTCCAGTCCATGATCCTGTTCCGGTTGTTCCAGTTGGGGCTGAACCTTCACCTCCTCCAGTGCAGATTCCTACTGAATGACCACTGATCCGGCACGTGTATACTCATCGACAGACACAGGCACCTCCTCCAGCTTCTACCTTGTCTGCAGATCCTGTTATTGCTCCTGTCCCAAAACCTTCAGAGCTTGATCTTCCCATTTCTTTACGGAAAGGTAAATGTAGTTGTACCCTACATCCCATTTCTAATTTTGTTTCAGTCTCTCACCTTTCTGCTTCACATTGCTAGTTTGTTTTTCTATTGTCATCTATCTCTATACCTAAGGATGTCCAGAAGGCCCTTACTTCACTCGGGTGGCATCAAGCAATGGAGGAGGAACTCTGCTCTTTAGCATACTCCCACATGGGAGCTCACTACTCTTCCTCCAAGTAAGCTTGTTGTGGGTTGTAAATGGGTGTATACTGTTAAATACTTGTCGGATGGCAGTGTGGAGCGTTTAAGGCACGACTTGTTGCTAAAGGTTATTCTCAGTTGTATGGGGTGGACTATATGGAGACCTTCTCTCCAGTGGCAAAGATTGGCTCAGTCCGAATCTTAACTTCCCTAGCAATTATGTATGGTTGGCCCTTGTTTCAACTTGACATTAAAAATTCCTTCCTTCATGGTGACCCCATGGAGGAGGTATATATGGAGCAACCACCTGGGTTTGTTGCTCAAGGGGAGGATGGTAAGGTGTGTATACTGAAAAAGGCAATTTATGGGTCAAAACAATCTCCTCGTGCTTGGTTTGGGAAGTTTAGTGAAGTGGTAAAGAATTTTGGAATGAAACAATGTCAGGTTGACCACTCAATGTTCAGTTATGATTCAGAAGCCGGAAAGATTTTATTAGTAGTCTATGTGGATGATATTGTCATAACTGGTAGTGACAAATTGGGGATTGATAAACTAAAGGCCTTCCTGCAAGAACATTTTCAAACAAAAGACCTTGGGAAGTTGAAGTATTTCTTGGGTATAGAAGTTGCCAGATCAAAACAAGGTGTAAATCTGTGCCAAAGAAAATATGTCCTTGATTTGCTGGATGAAACAGGACTGTTAGGTGCAAAACCGGTTGAAACTCCCATGGAACCAAATGCTAAGTTGAGTAATGATACAGGTGAAATATTTGATGATCCTGGAAGATAAAGACGGTTAGTGGGGAAGCTGAACTATCTGACTATCACAAGACCAGACATCTCCTTTGCTGTCAGCGTAGTGAGCCAATTTATGCAGAACCCTCGGATACCTCACTGGGATGCAGTTCTTAGAATTGTAAGGTACCTGAAGGGAGCTCCAGGTCGTGGGTTATTGT